TGTTCTTATCCACCTCATTTGAATGCTGTTCGAAGGGCTAATGGTGGTCATACTGACTATTAAATCGTGTCAATAAACTCAGTTTTTTATGGGCTTTAAAATGAGGTGTCGCGGAAGTTGTAAACTGCTGTCGATCTTGCTGTGACCCCCTAGGAAAAGGTTATGCCCCGCCCTGTAGACTTCCCTCAAAGAGGGGATCCATAACACACCCAGCCTCCCTGTTCTGGTGGGTTGGATGGATATAACTGGGAGAAGATGGTCTTTCAAATAGCAGAGGGGAAGTCACCATGGAGAAGGCCCTTCTTCTTCTGGGTACCACCAGATGGACCTCCTTAAGACAGGGGACCAGTAATATCCCCTTCCTCCCTGCTCCACTGGGATGAGCAAATGTAATTGGGAAAGGACAGTCTTTCAAATAACAGGGATGGGGCCACCATGGAGAAGGCCCTTCTTCTGGATCCCACCAAGGGGACCTCCTTAAGAGAGGGAGCCCATAACATCTCCTACTCTCCGCTCTGGTGGTTTGGGTGGATGCCACTAGGAAAAGACGGTCCTTCAAGCAGCAGGGAGGAAGCCACCACAGAGAAAGCCCTTCTTCTTGGTCCGGCTGAGTGACTTGGCTCAGTCCCTCTCTCTCAACTTAAGCCACCTCACAGGATTGTTGTCGAGGGGAAAATAGGGGAGGAATGTTAGATACATTCACTGCCTTGAGTTATTTGTAAAAATAATAATGGCGAGATATAAATAAAAAATAGTATATACAAATTTCATTTTGTCCAACTTAAGATCTGAACATAAGAGGAACCTTGGTTATTGCTAACCTCTGGAAGACTAGGGGAGCAAACATGTGGGATCATAAAATAAACCTTGAATAAATTACAAGGCATTCTGCATCTGGTTCACACCACTGTTGTGAGTACTGATAGTATTTTTTTTCAACTTGCGTAGTCTTACTAGGTGATTTTTCTGTGAAGGCATCACCCTGAACTGACCCACCATCTGCCTTAATAGAACTTGGAATTGCAGGGTCGGAAGGGACCTTGGAGATCTTCTAGTCCAATCCCCTGCTCTAGGCAAGAGGCCATAGACCTGGGCCTCCTCCGCCACAAAACAACAACAACTGCCAGACCAGGCAAACACAATCACTAACCCAGTCCCAGGAACAAACAAGAATGCCATGTCTTCTGAGAGGTAACAGAACGTACCCATCCAGTCCTTCATTAGCCACCGTTAGCCATATCGAATTAACCACATTGTGAAAGAGCAGATCAAAAGGCCCTACCTTCTATTGTTATCGCCTGCTCAGGTCTCTTCTCTGGGGCCAAGGCTGTTGTGGTTTGGCGGTAGAGCTGTGCGCCTCCCTTCGCGCTCCCCAACCTGTTTATCAACTGGAGACAAGTTGGCAATGCTAGTAAGAATGTGCGTGGATTTCGGATGAAGAAGAAAAATCAACTCCAGGTGTTTCTTCACAAATCTACACAGGCTGTTCTCGACTTATGACCACTATCGAGCCCAACATTTCTGCTGTTAATGTTTGTTAAGTGAGTTTTGCCCCACTTTATGACCTTTCTTGCCCCAGTTGCTAAGTGAATCTGGCTTCTCCAGTGACTTTGCTTGTCAAAAGGTTGCCAAAGGTGATCACATGACTCAGGGACACTGCAACCATCATAAATACATGCCATTGACAGGTGTCTGAATTTTGATCACGCGTCTGTGAGGATGCTGCAATGGTCATAAGTGTGGAAAAACAGCCGTAAGTCACTTTTTTTCAGTGCCCTTGTAAGTTTGAACAGTTACTAAATGAACTGTTGTAAGCTGAGGACTACCTGAACAAGGGCATAGAATCATAGGACCTCAGAGATCTTCTAGTCCAACCCCCTATTCAAAGCAGGTGAACTTATACCATACGAGCTGTGGTGGCACAGTGGTTAGAATGCAGTATTGTAAGCTACTTCTGTTGACTGCCGGCAGCCTGCAATTTGGCATTTCAAGCCTCACCAGCTTGAGGTTGACTCAGCCTTCCACCAAGTCAGTAAAATGAGGACCCAGATTATTGGGGGCAATATGCTGACCCTGTAAACCACTTAGAGAAGGCTTCAAAGCACTGTAAAGTGGCATATAAGTCTATTGCTATCCTGGTCAAATGGTTGTCCAATCTATTTTTGAAAACCTCCAATGATGGAGCACCCACAATTCCAAGAGGCAAGCCATTCCATTAGCTAATTATTGATTAATTTCTCCTTACCTCTAGATTGGACCTCACTTTAGCTAGCTTTCACCAGTGAGAGGTAATCCTCAACTGACAACAGTTCGTTTAGTGATAGTTCAAAGTTCTAACGGCACTGGGGGAAAAATCCACTGTCAGACCTGGAAGCCATCTTTTTACCTTTCGGACTTCAGGCCTGCCACATTTTCTACTGTGGGGAACTGGGAGGGGGCATTTTACAGAGTGCGGGTGATATGTAGTCATAATAACATTCTTTCTCAGAAAGTCAAGGTCATCTGGCCCTGCAGGTGCGATGAGATGACTGGGAGGCATCTCCTGTTTTGGATGGTACCTGACTGGATCATGTGATGGACATGTGGGTGCTGGGTAGGGATTTGAATTTTCTTTTGGGTGGGGAAAACCTGGAAACTTACAGATTTGGATTTTCCCAGATGTGTCAGTATGAGATGTCTAATAAAATGGATCTTTGCCTCAAATTTTCCTTCGTTGGGGTTGTTGCTTGGAACCCTGGCAACCATTCAGCTTGGTGGTTTTCTTGCAGATGTTTCATAACCCAACTAAGTAACGTCATCAGTGTTAGAAGGGAGTGCTCTCATTTTATATACTGTGGTTTGACCTGTCGGTATTGATGGGAATGTTCTTGGTGATTCCTTAATTAGTTGTTTTGTGTCTGCTTGTGTAGAAAGTCAGCACCCACCCACCCTCTTAGAAGAATGAAATATTTTGGGGGATATTAAAAGGAGCAGAATATTATATTTTGCAAAGGGAGAAATGGAGAAACATGTTCTTAAAGGGGACAAAAACCAGCTCCAGTCTCCAAGCAGAAACTAAGGAGGCCAGTTTTTAGAAATGCAGATTTGGTAATCCATTCAGAAAGACTGGGCTCATCTATAATTAAGATGGGATTAAGAAAGGGCATGACATGACCTTGATTCCATTCATTAAGAAAAGTGGAAACAATACTGGTCCATTAAGAAAGGCAGGCCAGAAGCAATAGATAAGAGAATAAAATCAATTACGGATGCCTCACAGGATTAGGATTAAGGATGTAATAATTAAGGCCATCGTGACCCTTTGCAAAACAAATAAAACCAATCAAATAATAAAAACACACAAAGCAAGCCTCCAGATTACAAAATGCTATGAAAATTGTATAAAACCCCATTTACAAGAAAAACCATTTGACCCAGAACTGGGTCAAATGCTTTCTTTGTATGGTTCTGTTCATCAATAAATGGACCTTTCTCTCCAATCGTTCTCCAGCCTCCATTTTATTTCGAGAGTCTTTCTCGCAGCGTGGAACTGAACCAGATGGATTTCCCTTCCAACACTTGTTTGTGTAAATTGTACTGAGACAACTCAGGATGTCTTAACAGAACAATTGAACTTGCCCAGCAGGTGCATGGTGGGTCTTTGGCTCCATATTTTAGGGAGAAGTTCCTGCCTCATAACAACTTAAGAAGAAGAAGAAAACGGAGAAACTCACCTCACATTCATAAAGACCTTCATCATCCTCACTGGCGTTTTTGATAACCAGGACAATCACACCACTTCGTGGCTCACTGAAGCTCTGGTGCTTGTTTGGGTCAGTGAGGAGGTTCCCATCTTTATACCACCTGGAATGAGGAGGGGGAGGAGGGAGAAGGAGAGAAGAGGAGGTGAAGAGAAAGGAGGGAGGGAGGAAAAATAGAAAGGGAGGTGAGTTTCTCCGTTTTCTTCTTCTTCTTAAGTTGTTATGAGGCAGGAACTTCTCCCTAACACATGGAGCAAAAGACCCACGATGCCCCTGCTGGGCAAGGTACA